TAACCCCCCCCCCCCCTTCCTTCCCTCCCCCCCTCCCCCCCCCCCCCCCCTACGTTTAAAATCGTTGGCTCTGCTTGTAAACATTTAGAGTGAACACAGCTCACTAAAACCATGTAGGGGTGGGGAGGGAGGGAGAGCGTTTGCAGCTTGTTTTCTAACAGCTCGAAGAAGAGAATTATATATATAGATTATTAGTTTGAATATTTCTAGCCTTAAAAAGACAGGAAGTCATTTTGTAGGCCCTACTTACTAGGCAACAAACATTTGGAACCATCTTTTCAAGCCTATTCTATCGCTACCATTTAGCATATAGATCTATATAATCTTTCCCAAGCATCTCCATATAAAAAAGATATCTACTTTATTAATTTAATGTATTCCTAAAATTACATCTCAATGTAATTGATTTTTAACAGACTTTTCAAATTGAAATTTTAAACTGAATGCCAGCCTATATTAAAAATCCAAGTATCCAACAGGGCTGTAATGATGAGTTTTATAATATAAACACACGCTCACACTCACACACACATACACATATACACAATCTCCAAAAATATTAGACAATATGTATAAACGGTGACCGGAAAAATGCGTAAAGGAAAACTGCGCACAAAAAAAAATGCGCAAGGGCATTTTTGTTTTCTTAAATCGAGCATTTGTAGAGATTAACAAAGGATGAATACATACAAGTAGGCCTACACTGTAGCATGATAAAGCATATTTCCTCGAAATATAACTAAATTAAAATATATTAGTGTAATTAGTTTTATAATTGTATTTGCGCAGTTTTCAGATTGCGCATACTCTGAGAGCCGTATAAACATATTGGCTGTATGAGTGTGTCCCACAACCAAGCTGGAGAACTAAAACCTGACCAGACATCTAAAGCGTAACGGGTTTTCTTAAACATAGCCGCGCATCTAAAACCTAACCAGACATCTAAAACATAGCCGGACATCTAAAACCTAGCCGGACATCTAAAACCTAGCCGGACATCTAAAACCTAGCCGGACATCTAAAACCTAGCCGGACATCTAAAACCTAGCCGGACATCTAAAACCTAGCCGGACATCTAAAACCTAGCCGGACATCTAAAACCTAGCCGGACATCTAAAACCTAGCCGGACATCTAAAACCTAGCCGGACATCTAAAACCTAGCCGGACATCTAAAACCTAGCCGGACATCTAAAACCTAGCCGGACATCTAAAGCCTAACCGATTTTCTTAAACATAGCCGGACATCTAAAACATAGCCGGACATCTAAAACATAGCCGGACATCTACAACCTAGCCAGACATCTAAAACCTAGCCGGACATCTAAAACATAGCCGGCCATCTAAAACCTAGCCGGACATCTAAAACATAGCCGGACATCTAAAACATAGCCGGACATCTAAAACCTAGCCGGACATCTAAAACCTAGCCGGACATCTAAAACCTAGCCGGACATCTAAAACCTAGCCAGACATCTAAAACCTAGCCGGACATCTAAAACATAGCCGGACATCTAAAACCTAGCCGGACATCTAAAACATAGCCGGACATCTAAAACATAGCCGGCCATCTAAAACATAGCCGGACATCTAAAACATAGCCGGACATCTAAAACCTAGCCGGACATCTAAAACATAGCCGGACATCTAAAACATAGCCGGACATCTAAAACCTAGCCGGACATCTAAAACATAGCCGGACATCTAAAACATAGCCGGACATCTAAAACATAGCCGGCCATCTAAAACATAGCCGGACATCTAAAACATAGCCGGACATCTAAAACATAGCCGGCCATCTATAACATAGACGGCCATCTAAAACATAGCCGGACATCTAAAACCTAGCCGGACATCTAAAACATAGCCGGCCATCTAAAACATAGCCGGACATCTAAAACATAGCCGGCCATCTAAAACATAGCCGGCCATCTAAAATATAGCCGGACATCTAAAACCTAGCCGGACATCTAAAACCCTGACCGGACATCTAAACCCTGACCGGACATCTAAAACCCTGACCGGACATCTAAACCCTGACCGGACATCTAAACCCTGACCGGACATCTAAAACCCTGACCGGACATCTAAACCCTGACCGGACATCTAAACCCTGACCGGACATCTAAAACATAGCCGGACATCTAAACCCTGACCGGACATCTAAAACATAATCGGAGATCTAAAACCTAGCCGGACATCTAAAACTAAACCGGACATCTAAAACCTAACCGGACATCTAAACCCTAACCGGACATCTAAACCATAACAGAACATCTAAACATAAACGGACATCTAAAACATAAACGGACATCTAAAACATAACCGGTCATCTAAAACCTAGCCGGACATCTAAAACATAACCGGTCATCTAAAACCTAGCCGGACATCTAAAACCTAGCCGGACATCTAAAACCTAGCCGGACATCTAAACCCTAGCCGGACATCTAAAACCTAGCCGGACATCTAGCCGGACATCTAAAACATAACCGGACATCTAAAACCTAGCCGGACATCTAAAACCTAGCCGGACATCTAAAACATAACCGGACATCTAAAACCTAGCCGGACATCTAAATCCTAGCCGGACATCTAAAACCTAGCCGGACATCTAAAACCTAGCCGGACATCTAAAACATAACCGGACATCTAAAACCTAGCCGGACATCTAAATCCTAGCCGGCCATCTAAAACCTAGCCGGACATCTATCAGCGCGTGAGTCTGTCATGAAATCTCTGCCTGGCATTAAAATGCTGGCCTCGCTCTGGTGTCGCAGACGTTACACGAGAGCCGGTCGCCTGTCTTATCGGCTGCCAGTGGACACCATATGCCACTCGTGTCGTCTGCTCCCTCGTGACCACAACGTGAGGGGACCTTAAGGGGCCTGTGGAGAAATACTGACCTGTGTAGGAATACTGACCTGTGTAGGAATACTGACCTGTGTAGGAATACTGACCTGTGTAGGAATAGTGACCTGTGTAGAAATACTGACCTGTGTAGGAATACTGACCTGTGTAAAAATACTTCTCAAGTTAGTTAAGGGACCCGTGTAGAAATACTGACCTGTGTAGGAATACTGACCAGTGTAGAAATACTGACCTGTGTAGAAATACTTCTCAAGTTAGTTAAGGGACCTGTGTAGAAATACTGACCTGTGTAGAAATACTGACCTGTGTAGAAATACTGACCTGTGTAGAAATACTGACCTGTGTAGAAGTACTGACCTGTGTAGAAATACTGATCTGTGTAGGAATACTTTTCGTTAGTTAAGTGACCTGTGTAGACAAATTTCTCTAGTTAGTTAAGTGACCTGTGTAGACAAATTTCTCTAGTAAGTTAAGGGACCTGTGTAGAAATACTGACCTGTGTAGAAATACTTCTCAAGTTAATTAAGGGACCTGTGTAGAAATACTTGCTTTTTTTTCTTTTTTGAATATAGCCTGTGGTGAAGGTTTCAATTAAACTTGTTTTTAAAATTATGAGCGATATTTGGTTAGCAGTCACATCGGTATGGACTCTGTTTCTAAATTTGTACAGCCTTTTTTGGACATTGTTACAGGGATATTTTTTTTAGATATAGCCGCTTTGAGCTCAATGTTTCCTGAGGTTTATGTTTCAAACACACTAACAGGTGTCGTTTGATCTAAGCGTCAAACTAAGTAGTTTGTATTCTACTTTCCTATTTTTTTGTTCTTCTGCAGATGAAAGTAAATTTTTAGTTAAATAAAATTATTTCCATATCATTGTCCACACCACCACTGTTCTCTACAATCCACCTCCGTCCATATCCTGTACCACACAACTCAACAACGACAACTCCACACCACTGTCCTCTACTACCCACCCCTGTCCATATCCTCTACCACACAACTCAGCAAAGACAACTCCACACCACTGACTTTCTTCCGCCCTTACCCTCAATTTTGCATCCCCGAACCCCGCCCCTCCTTCTACACAACCCTAGCCCCGCCGCATCCCTGTACAACACCACCCCTACCTTTTACATTACACCACCCCTAGTCCCACCCCCTCCCTGCACTAAACCACCCATAGCGCCGCCCCCTCCATATACTACACCACCTTAGCCCCGCACTACACCACCCCTAGCGCCACCCCCTCCCTACACTAAACAATCTTAGCCCCGCCCCGCCCCGCCCCTCCCTACACTACACCACCCCAAGCGACGCCCCATCCCTGTACTACACCACCCTTACCTTTTTCATTACACCACGCACAGCCCCGTCCCTTCCCTCTACACTACATCACCCTCGCCCCGCCCCTACCCTCTAAAGTACACCACAATCCCAGACATTGTCCCGATGGTTAAATTGTCCATGTGAAAGATTAAACCTCACTAGCAGAAATTTTGTGAAAGTTCATTAGAGTAGACATTATCGTATCCCCACCCCGCGTGCTTGTCAGTTTGTCGCCTGTCAGTTTGTCGCCTGTCAGTAAGACGCCTGTCAGTTTGTCGCCTGTCAGTAAGACGCCTGTCAGTGGGACGCCAGCTATTATTAGACGCGCGAGCTCAACTTGCCGTGACATTATGTCGGGTGGAATATCCAATCAGACTTGTCTCATTGCTTCCAATAAGTAAACAGAGCTAGTTTAGAGATTATTGTTTCGTTTAGTGTTTATGATGTAAACTACTTTTTAAACTGCTGTGTTTATGTGATTATGTTAAAATAGTTGCTTACTAGAGAAACAAATGTTTACCAAAATATTTCTTGAAATGGTTTTGTTATACGTCTATAGCAATACACTTGCATTATGGCTTAAATTACGCGAGAAATACATTAGTCACAAAGTCAAAGTGTGTTGGAAACAAAACAAAATTATTCAATTTTGAGATATTCCAGGAAATGTGTTAAAAGACATTTCTCCGTAGAAAGCAGATATTCATCTCTGATCGAATAATGTTAACTTTTTGAAAAACTCTGCAGTGACATATTTTGTTACAAGCGCATTTCTTCATCTCCCGTGTGAATTGGTTCCTCCAAGATGGCGGCCAACCAAACCGAGCAGACGATGTTTGAGGGGGAGCTCATGCCCCAGCCAGAGCGTGACGTCTTCCTGGTCATCGGCTGGCTACTGGTCATCAACGGCGTCTTCGGCAACGTCGTCATCATCGTGACCTTGTTCACGTGCAAGAGCCTGAGGTCAGTCCACCACCTGTTCATTGGGAACCTGGCTGTGGCTGATCTCATTATAGAGGGCTACTTCGCCACTTTCTTCTTGGTGGACATTAGCATCGGGTGAGTTGTCAATGTGTAAATGTTATTGTTGGGCGAGTAGTCAATGTGGTGGGGGGGGGGGGGGGCATCAGTGGTGTGCGAGTAGTCTTTGTGTAGACATCAGTGTTGGACGAGTAGTCTTTGTGTAGACATTAGTGTTGGGCGAGTAGTCTTTGTGTAGACATTAGTGGTGTGCGAGTAGTCTTTGTGTAGACATTAGTGTTGGGCGAGTAGTCTTTGAGTAGACATTAGTGTTGGGCGAGTAGTCTTTGTGTAGACATTAGTGTTGGGCGAGTAGTCTTTGTGTAGACATTAGTGTTGGGCGAGTAGTCTTTGTGTAGACATTAGTGTTGGGCGAGTAGTCTTTGTGTAGACATTAGTGTTGGACGAGTAGTCTTTGTGTAGACATTAAAGGTGTGCGAGTAGTCTTTGTGTAAACATTAGTGGTGTGCGAGTAGTCTTTGTGTAGACATTAGTGGTGTGCGAGTAGTCTTTGTGTAGACATTAGTGGTGTGCGAGTAGTCTTTGTGTAAACATTAGTGTTGTGCAAGTAGTATTTGTGTTGTGTAGATATCAGTGTTGGGCGAGTAGTCTTTATGTAGACATCAATGATGGGCGAGTAGTCTTTGGTCTGATACTAGACAAGGGAAAATGTTAATTTTCGTTGCGAGGTGGAACTTTAAAAAAAAATGCAATACAAAGTGCTTGTATTTTGTTTTCTGATTTGTTGAGTGGAAAAGGCGTTATAAAAGATAGTTGTTGGCTACATGATTTGTTTATAGATGAGCAATGGTAAGGGGTGGGATCGTTGCAATACATTGTTTCGTGAACCGAATCGATTTACTGCATTACCGATCACATGATTTTTAAATACATTTTATGTTAGTTCGTTTCTATTCTTCAAAGCTCCAAGTAAGCTTTTGTTTTCCTATGTAAAAGTGGCTATTTTAAGACTGCAGCTATTTAAATGTGTGTTGTGAGAATTCCAACGAGTCGGTGTAGTTGCACGATACCCAAATATTCCCGCAGTTAAAGTTACTTAAATATTTATAGCCTTAACCCATAAGAGTCTGACTGCCCTCAGGCCGGTAGTAATATAGCACAAAGAAAACGAGAATCAAAGGGTTAATGGAATTTCCGGTACTGAATAATTGACAAGGGCGCGTCATTTGCAGGGATCAAGGCCCATTTTCCGACCACTTTTCTCAAGCAGCCGTGACAGGTGATCCAACATTATTCTCTCCCCAATTTACATGAATGTCACCCAACAACCACGCCACCGCTCTGCACTGAACATCATTTGTAAATGTAAAAAAAAAGTTACTTTATTCTAAAGAAGGTACACAAATATTAGGAGTAAAAGATGTAATCTTTTTTTTTTTTTTTGTAAATCTCGACGTTTTACAGCTCCCTGAATCGGAAAAACATAGTTTTGCAATCTTGTCCGTATGTCTGTGTGTGTATGTGTGTGTGTAAACACGATAACTTGAGTACCGTTACAGTTAGGTTGGTAAAATTTCATACACAAGTATTATATCAAATATGTTGTTCTGTATCAACTTTTCAGCGATTTTCGAAAACCGGAAGTGGAACTTATTCTACTTTCAATTTTTCAAAAGCCTATAACTTGAGTACTGTTTCAGTCCGATACATGAAATTTCACATGTAAGTAAAAGATCTAATTCCCTGTCGTCTGTCAAATTTTGAGTAATATCCGTTGACCGGAAGTAGTAATTTACGCTATTTCTGATTTCTCAAAAAGGCATGTGAATTTATAAAGTACTAATATTCCGCACTATTATGCACAAATTTTTGGCGTTCATTTGCAGTATTTATTCCAGACTTTTATTCTCCGGGGGGGGGGGGGGGCACTTGAAATTTATAAATATTAATATATATTTATATATATATATTTTCTATATATATTTCATTTCGTTCGGGGGGGGGGGGCTGTAGACTATCTTCGGGGGAGGAGCCCCCCCCCCCCCCCCGAAGAGATGCCTGGAAGAAACTCTGTTCACTTGGTGCGCTATTATTTTTTCTATGAGATTCTATTTTATTTTAAAAAGTTTAAGTAATTAAAAATGGATTAAAATTATTGTCTATATCCTGAGTTGCCACCCCCCGTAGTGTTATATAAGAATATTCGAGAACGTTTAGGGGAGATCACTCTCGGTTTATTTTTAATGTGCCTGAACAGTACACAGTCCATATGAGTAGAATGTTCATTTGTCTGGTCAGTAACGATGTATAGAGCAGATGAAGTAGAGCTCTTCTGTTCCCCAAACACGTCATGTTAAGGGATAGTTTGTTCAGCACTATGCAGAGGCGTAGCGAGGGGGGGGGGGCGGGGGGGACATTTGTCCCCGGGCGCCGACCTTAGGGGGAGGGGGCGCCAAATTGAAAGTTTGAGGGGGGGTGCAAATGAAAAGTTCGAGGGGGGGGGGGGTGCAAATCGAAAGTTTGAGGGGGGGGGGGGGTGCAAATGAAAAGTTCGAGGGGGGTGCAAATCGAAAGTTTGAGGGGGGGGGGGGATTAGCAGTCTAGTGCTCCACCGTTCTAAAGATTAGCAGTCTAGTGCTCCACCGTTCTAAAGATTAGCAGTCTAGCGCTCCACCGTTCTAAAGGTTAGCAGTCTAGCGCTCCACCGTTCTAAAGGTTAGCAGTCTAGCGCTCCACCGTTCTAAAGGTTAGCAGTCTAGCGCTCCACCGTTCTAAAGGTTAGTAGTCTAGCGCTCCACCGTTCTAAAGGTTAGCAGTCTAGCGTTCCACCGTTCTAAAGGTTGGCAGTCTAGCGCTCCACCGTTCTAAAGGTAAGCAGTCTAGCGCTCCACCGTTATAAAGGTTAGCAGTCTAGCGCTCCACCGTTCTAATGGTTAGCAGTCTAGCGCTCCACCGTTCTAAAGGTAAGCAGTCTAGCCAGAGCCGGCGTTAGGAATACGCGGGGCCTAGGGCCAACCATCCGCGCGGGGCCTGCTTCTTGTCCATTATATATATATATATATATATATATATATATATATATATATATATATATATATATATATATATATATATATATATATATATATATATATGTGTGTGTATAGTCCTATATAATATGCATACACACATAATAACACATAAATGTTTTGGAGTCTATAAGACTTTAATAACAGATGTTAACCTCTCCCACGTTTTAACCCAATGTTCTTAGTGTTTTTTTTTCTTGCTAAGATATTTAATAACTTTTGACAGATATGTAATTCATGCCAAATCATTTAAGAAAATTCAATCACGTGCCCAATAATTAGGAAAATAAAGTTGTTTAAATTGTTTGTTGATGACTAATTGTTAATATAAAAGCATGGGCGTAGCGAGGGATGGGGTGCGGACCGCATCGGGTGACACCATTTAGGGGTGGGGCGGGACACACCAAGGCAAAAAATAGCAAAACATAAACAAAAAATGATAGTTCCACTTTAAAAAGTGGTTAATTAGAGCGTTAAATAGTCTTTAAAGAGCAAATTTGATAAATTCCGACAAAGGGTGGGGGGTGGGGGGGGGGGGGGGGTGGGGGGTGGTGACACCATGACGTAAACCTGCTAATGATAGAAAAAACATGCTACATCAACACTTTTAACTTTTAAAAAAAAAAAAATAATAAAACACTCTGTCTAATGCCCCTTGATATAGATCCTAAGGGCCTCCCCCCCCCCCTATCGCCCTCTTCCCACCCCTCTGCACGCAACTGAATGTTAATTTTGTTATACCAAGACAAGTAGGGCTACATATACGACATCTACAACAAGAAAGTCAGGACTAGCGTTCATCAGGTCACTAGCTGTCTACTACATGCATCCCTCTGCTCACTAAAACAACTTCTTCATCGGTCCGCATACAATAGAGTATCTTTTTACCTGTTTCCCAAATTTACATCCCATGTCAGGTTGGGGGCTGATTCGCGTCCAACAATCTCCAGTCAGCTCAGGTCAAATGCCAGGCGACCGTACCCTACACAATGGGGAGGTGTGACACTGTTTTGGTATCGAATTACGGCCTTTCCCAGTTCATGTGGGTGATAACTCACCAACATCAACCGTGGCCTCAGTTATAACAATCAACAACTTTGGCATTCGACCATTTAGTTTTTCCCCATTGAATTCAGTAACAGTTTATTTAAGTTTACAAACAAATTCAGATAACAATGACAGTGCTGAAGCGCGGGGCCCCTTCAGGCGCGGGGCCTAGGGCGGCCGCCCCGTTTGCCACCCCCTAACGCCGGCTCTGAGTCTAGCGCTCCGCCGTTATAAAGGTTAGCAGTTTTACCGCTCCACCGTTCCAAAGGTTAGCAGTCTAGCGCTCCACCGTTCTAAAGGTTAGCAGTCTAGCGCTCCACCGTTCTAATGACTGGACAGTACATGACCATATGTGTTGGCGGCACACAATTTCAAAATGTCGCTAATATGTCTTGATATGGGAAAGTGTGGCCTAAGCGGTAGAGCGCTAGGCTGCTAACCCGAAAGTCTCGAGTTCGAATCCGGGTCCAAATCAGCAGAATGTTCCTAACATATATGATGACCACATATGCCGAGGACAAGAAACATAATGACTCTACTTCATCTTGATCCCTAGGCCTAAAGAAGATTCTTTACTTTACTTCTACTTGACAGTATTTAAAGTCTGTTTTTATTTTTTATCCGTTGACCAGTTTTAAGTTTACTCAAACATAAAAATATAGCTACGTTGAAAATGTCTGTTCTTGTTTTATTTCAAGATACGATTTTAAAATTGAAGTGCTTATATCAAAGCCTCAAATGTCTATTCTTGTTTTATTCTAAAATACTGTTTTAAAATTGAAGTGCCAATATCAATGCCACAAAAGCAATACAAGGAAAGAAACAAAAGAAAAAGGGATAAACAAGTTAATTAAAAAAGTCTAGTGACATTTGTGCGCAATTTCCTTATGTTATCTAAAAATAGCTCTGACGTATAATGTTGGGGTGCGTTCAAGCTAGAAGAACAATCGTTTTGTAGGTGTT